ATGATGAACAGTGCTATGTAAGCCAAAAAAAAACCCTTTTCTCCAAAAGTTGCTTTGGTCATGGTAATTTATCACTCTGAGAAGTAGAGGTCTATCACTTGATGTTTCAAACCTAAATATTGCTTGATGTTTTAGAACTAAATAGTTATGGTTATAGTCACTTAAGTTTGAAGCTATGGTGGTTTCAAAAAGAAATGTCCCTCACAATATCACAGCTAGACACTACATGCTAGCAAGTAACAACCCCAGAACTAGGAATGGATTGCTTCTAAGATGTTGGCCAGTGGGCTCCCATAGAGCTCCACACATTACAGGCTATTGCTGCTGCTCTTGATTATACTCCATAATGTGATCGTAAGACTATTGCTGGGACTACAGAGATGGCTCAGTGGTTAAGATCACTTACACAGAGACTCAAGTTCAGTTCCAGGTATTCACTTGTTGGCTCACAACCATCTACAACCCGAGTTGCAGGTGACTGCACCTCCTTCCAGCTTCCCCAGACAACAGACCCATATATACAAGCAAAATATATTTAAAAACATGTGACTGTATGTTTGTGTGTCTGTATAAAGACACCACATACTTGAGTGATAAAATATAGAAAAATCAAGCTGACCTGGAAGCTTCATCCTTACTAGATTGCTTTCATAGTGCTGGAAGGTGCTAAGCATCCTATTGGAGCAGAAAAGTAGTCATCAGTCTTACATTGCTGCAAACCTTATGAACAACAATAAATATCCTAGCAAGATATGTCTACTGGTGCAATAATGGTACAAATGATATAGGAGTATCAGATCACTCTCTGAATTTCAGGCCCACTCCATAAGATGGAACCTATACCTGGCACCATTATCAGGGCCAAGAGCCTGTTTCTAGATAGGTCATGGGCTCTAGTAGGAGAGCCAACTACCATTATTCTGTTAAAAGGGATTAGCATTAAAACATCCCTTAATGGTCCTCATCAAAGAATATTGTCCTCAGTAGACAGTAGTTAACACAGAGATCTACAAACTGGTCAACATGCGGAGAACAAGAGACTGCAGCGTTCAGCTCTAAATAGGATATCTATAACACATTTCTCCCTCCATGACCCAGAGGTCTTCGTGGAAGAAGAGGTGGAAACATTGTAAGAGCCAGAGGCAGTGAATGGCTACAAAGAAACAAACTTTCCCAACCAGAACAGAATGGCTGCATTATGAACTTCTAGTGATTTTGACCGGGTGTACAGACCCGTGAAATCTCAAGTCAGACAAAATCCCAGCATGGAGTGAAAGAGGTGGGTTTGTTTATTGCAAGAAGAATCTTCTGATCAAAATACATTGTATTAAATTCTCAAAAAAAATGGTTTAAAATAGTTTAAAGAAATGCCCTCCATTGACTCACATATTTTGAACAGTTGGTGGCAATGTTTGGGGGAGGTTATGGAACCTGTAGGAGACAGAGCCTTCTTACAGGAAGTATTTACTGGAGACAGGCTTTGAAGACCTATAGCCTCATCTCACTGTTCTCTGTCTGCTGTGTGTGTGTGTGCGCACACATGTATGTGCACACATGGACGTGTGAGTATACGAGTGTGTGAGTATGCAAGTGTGTGTGTGTATGAATACGTGATCTCTCTGTTTATCGCTCCTGCTGTCATGATGTGTATTCTCTGCCATTATGGACTCTACCCCTTCTTTAAGTTGCTTTTAGTCATAGTATTTATCACAGCAACAAAAAATTGGTAGAGGGTTATTGCTCTGGCGTTTCAGTACCAGTGGTCCTGGTAGCTAGTGTAATCATGTAACTCTATCAGCAGTTAGTGGCATCAGACAGTAGCAAGCAGCAGCAACAGCTGGTACTTTTATGTCATAGCTTTTATACAGGCTTCAGGTGCTGGGGTCCCTAAGCCATTGGCAGCTTCAAGTTTTACATGTCTCCATAGCTCTTATTTTTTTTCTATTGCTTCTGTCCTCTGTTATTTAGACTCTAGCCACTCTCTTCAGCTCCCAGGCGCTTCATCTCGTTACTGCGCCTGCGTTTGCTGCTGCTAGGGCTGTGGCTTTTGCTGCCTTCACCACTGTTGCTGTCTTTTTTTCTTTATGTTATCACTGAGCTCAGTAGAGTAATGATGAAAGCCAAAGGGAGGTAAGAAAAGATCTTTTGTGAGAAGTCTTTAATTTGGTACCAGCGCTGCAGCACAGCATAAGAGGATGTCTCCCAGGTAGGTCATAAAGGGAGACAAATAGCTTGCTTGTATGATTGCAAATGGGTGTGGCTATAACAAAGGTTCTGTACTGAGCATGTAGACCCACATGCATATGAAGGACCGTGCTTGACCCAATAACAGCATCCCTTCATTCAAATGAAGGTATGTGCTTAAGTCAATCATAGCATGGTCCTTCAAGCAAATGAGAGATATTATTTGCACTAATCAAAGCAGTTCCTGATGCAAATGAAGGCTTTTATTTGTACAGAGCATGACATAGTTCCTTGTGCAAATGAGGGAACACACTAGCAGCAATCATAGTAGTCATCCAAATTAATATCTGTATTTGTCCAATCATGACAGAGTCCTTTGTGAAAACAGAGGATTGCATTTGTATCCATCACAATAATCCCTGCTGTAGATGAAGATGTGTTGTAGCAGACACATGAAAGAATGTTTTGCTGAAGCAGACACAGGTAAGAGGATGTTTTTCTGAAGCAGACACAGGTGAGAAGACATGTGATGTTTAGAAAGGATATAAATATGACCCCACAGGCAGTGGAAGGAGGCTCTAGCATTGGCTCATCTTGCTCTGCCCCACTAGTTTTTGCTGAGGATGCTCTTATCAATTTAAGAGCCTTACATCCAGTTGCTGATCTTCCTTTGTCCTGACTTCATAGAGAGTAACCAGCTAAAGAACTTCTCGTGAATTTCCAGTAAGTCCTTGCAGCTTCTGTGGACGCTGGCTGATTGGCGGAACCTCTTGGTTTCTTCTGCATCAAACTGCTGTTGCTGATTTGTAAGTGGTGATTGACTAATGCACTGGACTGCTGAATAGCCTCAAAGAACTATTTCTAAATAGGTTCACAAACCCTGTTTCCTATTAACCTTTTTGTCCCCCTACCTCTGGTGGGTGGTAGTCTAGAAGGGAGGTTGAAGCATTCAAGAACCCTTATTAAAGTAGGTTTTGAAAAAAATCTAAGCCTACAAAGATGTTTGAGCCAATCATGGGAAAGTTCCATATTTACATCAGTCACAGTCCCTTATGTAAATAAAGGCCTTTATTGTACCAATCATGGTATCTCAGCAAATGAATAATTCTGTTTATCCCAATCATAGAATACATTTCCTTGATATCAGAAAATGTTGACTAGGGGTGGATGTGGTGTTTCATGCCTTTAATCCCAGCCTTAGGGAGGCAGAGGAAGGCAAATCTCTGTGAATTGAAGGCCAGATAGGTTTATATAGTGAGTTCTAAGCCAGCCAGACTGAGAATTGTATAATGAGATCCTGTATCAAAAAATAGTTGAACATGTTTTATATATTTATTGGCCATATGTACTACTTTTGAGGATTGTCTATTTAGTTCACTTGTCTATTATTTGTTATTTCAGTGTTTAATATTTTTTAGTTCTTTATCTATTCTGAATATTTATTCCCTCAGATAAATATAAAGTGGGGTAATATAGAATAAATTATAAAGTTAAAAATAAATATAAAATGAAGAAAGAGACAGGAGAAGAGGAAAAAAGAGAAAGAAAGAAAGAAAGAAAGAGAGAAAGAAAGAAAGAAAGAAAGAAAGAAAGAAAGAAAGAAAGAGAGAAACAAAGGCAAATATTAAGAAGGCCTGTAAGATAGCTCAGTGGGTAAAGTTGTGTTCTGCCAAGCCCAAGATCCTGAGTTTAAGCTCCAGAACCCACATCCTGGAAGGCAGTATGCTTGTGTCCTCCCACCCTCTTAAAAATGTAATTGAAAAAAAGAAGACGAAATTGAAAGAGAAGGAGGAGTAATTCTGGGAGCCAGGCAGGTTGAGGACACCAGGAGAATCAACTAACAGCCTGAAGAATCAACTAAGCAGGGCTCATAGGGCCTCAGAGACTGAAGCAGAAATCATGGAACCTGCATGGGATTGTGCTAGATCCTCTGCATATATGTTATGGTTGTTGGCTTGGTGTTTTGGGGGGACTCCTGATTATGGGAATGGGGTTGTCTCTGACACTTTTGTCTGCTTTTGGGACCCTTTTCCTCTTACTGGACTGCCTTGTCCAGCCTTGATGTGAGGGTTTGTGCCTGCTCTTATCATATCTTGTTGTGCCATGTTCATTTGATGTTCCTGCAAGACCTGGTCTTTTCTGAAGGAAAATTGAGGAGGAGTGGATCTGTGGAAGAAGGGATGTTGGGGGTGGGGGAACTGGAAGGAGAGGTATGGAAAGCTTCAGTCAGGATATATTGTATTAGAGAAGAATAAATTAGAAAAAGGAAGAAAAATAATGTGAGAAAGAGAAAAACATGAACAATGTGTTTTTTAAAGTCCAACTAGAAAATAAAGAAAATTGTGTGAATTACAGAAATGTAAGAAGAGTGATTAAAAAATAAAAATGAGAAAAATTCAACTTCTAGAGGATTTAATTTGGCTCCCAGATTCGGGAAACAGTCAGCCACGATGAGAAAAGCATCAGCACCTTGCACTGTATTGGCAGTCAGAAACACAGTGATGAGTAGTGATGCCCATTAGGGCTTTGTCTCCCTTTTTAGTCTTGGATCCCTGCCCATAGGGTTATGCCACCCAAAAACAGGGTGAGTCTTCTCTTGTCTGGAAAATGCTTCACAGGCATTCTCAGCTTAAGTACCCCAGGATGAAAAAAAAAAGCAACAGAGTGGATTTCTTTTCGAGCACCACTCGGCCATGCAACAGATGTCACTGTCAGACCGCATCACTCTACCAGATTTGAAGTGTGTGAAAATTATCGACATTTGTTATGGCTGGAACTGTCAAGCTGTTGTTTGTTCCACGGGCTGCCTGACTTACCTTGTGATGAAGCTTTGGTTTCCTCTCTTCAAAAACAGTGCTAGGGTTGGAGCCATGAGAGCTGTTTCCATTTTGCCCTTCATTGCCTTTCTCCTTCTTTATCCATTCCAGCTGTCTGGTCTCCTCTTTCTGGATTCTCTATGTTCTTCCTCTCTTTATCATTGATATCATCCCCTCTGTTAACCAAACTCTTCTCATTCATAGACTGAATTGGAGGAAATGTCTCGTTTTCTCCCTTTCACACAAGGGAAATGATTTATTATTTTTCTTCTTATACCTTCATGATAAATTTCTATAAAATATAAGGATAATAAATATCCTTAAACCCAAGTATTATAGTAGATTCAAAATATACATATTTTCAAAATTCTCATTGTCCTTTCATCTTTTCCTGTGGCTTGTCCAGCTGTTCACTGTTTCTCCCAAACAATCGCAAAATCTGAACACACTAAACCCTTATATTTTTTCCAACTTTCATGCATGTTCATATAATAAACCACAGCATACAAACACATATCCAGGTATGTGCTAGTAATTCATTTTCCTGTTCATTCATTATGTTTCCTATAACCTAGCAAAGAAACATTTGACACACAGAGTCAACTGATGTCAATCTACTTTATTCTCTGCAAAGAATATACGTTTATGTTGGATTCTAGTCTCATAATCTAATTTAATGCTTTTATTCATATAGGCAATTAGTGCAAACATTTTTTAATGACTTTGAATGCTTATAATTACCATCTCACCTTGGAACTAGACCCTTGAACCATTCATTTTAAGAATTCACTTTGGGGGGCTGGAGAGATGGCTCAGCGGTTAAGAGCACTGACTGCTCTTCCAGAGGTCCTGAGTTCAAATCCCAGCAACCACATGGTGGCTCACAACCATCTGTAATGAGATTGGATGCCCTCTTCTGGTGTGTCTGAAGACAGCTACAGTGTACTCATAAATAAAATAAATAAATAAATCTTTAAAAAAAAAGAATTCACTTTGGAGTCATACATGGTAATTTGTGTTGGTAATTGTAGCACTCAAGAGGCTCAGTGTTCAATGGCAGCCTTGCTACATAGCTAGACTGTGGAGAGAGAGAGAGAGAGAGAGAGAGAGAGAGAGAGAGAGAGAGAGAGAGATTCCACTGAAATCCCACCGTGCTGGCTAGTTCTATGTTAACTTGATACAAGCTAGAGTAATTTGGGAAGAAGGATTCTCAATTGAGAAAATGCTTCCATAAGATAGGAATCTTATAGGTAAGTCTTTACTAGATTAATGATTTATGTGGGAGGGTCTATCCCACTGTGGACTACCAGCCCTAGGCAGGTGATCCTGGATGGTGTAAGAATTCAAGCTGAGAAAACCATGGGAAGCAAGCCAGAAAGCAGAGTTTCTCTGTGGCTTCTGTTTCAGCTTTTGCCTCCAGGTTCTTACTCTGTGTTCCTGCACTGACTTCTTTCAATGATGGGCTATGATATGGAAATGTAAGATGATATAAACCATTTCCTCTCTAAGTTACTTTGGTCAGTAGAAAAGTAACTAAGACACTAGACACTACTCAGTAACTTTCCTTTTTTTTTTTTTTTTTTTGGAGACAAGGTCTCACTACATAGCCCTGTCTGTCCTGAACATCCCATTGTAGACCAGACTGGCCTCGAACTCACAGAAGTCTACCTACCTCTGAGGCCTCTGCTAAGTGCTGGGATTAATGGTGTGCAAGACTATGTCTGGCTAATTTTTCAGTTTTTATATTTTACTTGATTGTTAGCATTTTATTTAATTCTAGCATCTGTCATCTCAGTGTTAACATTGTCTTCCTTTTCTCCTGCAAGTTGAGAGTTACATTCTTTTTTATAATAATGAATATTTTCTGTTGCATTTCGAATGTTGGAGGTATTGTCATGAGATTCTGAATTTTATTTCCTCCTCCAGTCTTTTCATCTTTCTCTCTTCTTCTGAGCCAGGGTCTCACTTTGTAGTCTTGGCTAGCCTGAAACACACTATGTAGATCAGGCTAGCTTTGAACTCAAAAAGACTAACCTACTTTTGCCTGCTATATATTGGGACTAACTATGTGTGCAGCCACACTTGGCTTCTATTTGCAGATGGTTAGATGTGTTGGACAGGTTTGTGTTAGGGTGAATACAGAATTCTCTGTTGGAGTCTGTTGACTCTTGCAAAAATGAATTAATATTTCATCCTTTCTTATTTCAATAGGCAATGTGAAAATGTTTCTCTCCTACTTTTTTATTGATATCATCCTGTAAAAAACACAGCTTTAAGCCTGTCAGTGGTGGTACACACCTTTAATCGCAGCATTAAGGAGGAAGAGACAAACTAATCTCTGACTTCAAAGCTAGACTAGCCTACAGAGTGAGTTCCAAGACAGCTGGGGCTATACAGAGAAACTGTCTTAAAAAACCAAAACCATACTTTTAGTCTTTGTTGCTAGAAAAAGCAATGTTGCCTCTCATTCTGCCCTAATGCCCCCTCTTCTCCTTCCCTCCTTCCCTCCCTCCTTCCCTCTCCCTCCCTCTCTGTCTTTTTCTCTTTCTCTCTCCTTCCCTCCCCCCTCTCTGTGTGTATGTGTGTTGTGTTGTGGTGTGTTGTGGTGTGTTGTGGTGTGGTGTGATGTGGTGTGTGGAAGTTTAGCTCCTTGCTAGGCACCTTCCAAATACTAAGCAGAAAAATAGGAAATGGATGCTTAGCTTATTCTGCCTCTTTTTGACTGGTCCAAATGAAACAACCCTAGGAAAAAGTGAAGTTCCAACTAGCATCATTCCCTGTATCTTGCTTTACAGTTTACTTCCTTTGATCTTGCAGATACCATCTCTGTGGAAGAGGTCTAAGGCATACTCCTCTTGTCTGATCATTGTCAAATGGGACTAGACATAGGTATCTGGCACAGTTGATACTGCAGAGAAGGAACAGATTTTTCTGTAATGTTTAATCTATTATCAAAAAGCTTTTCTGATCTGCTAGAGCACCCAGTTTCTGCTCATTTACCTAAACACAATTTGGGTTCTTTCTTTTTTCTTTTAATGTAGATGGTGTTTTGCTTGCATCTGTGTACCACTTTTGTGGCTGATACTCACTGAGGCCAGAATAGAGCATCAGATCCCCTAGAACTGTAGTTAGTAGAGAGTTTTTGAGATACTATGTGGATACTGGGAATTGAACCTAGATCCTTTCAAAGAGCAGCCAGTGGTCTTAAGCATTGATCAATCTCTCTAGTCTCATTTACTGTATTTGTGAATTGATCTTTTAGTTCATTTATTGTCAATCAAGGTAATTAATGTAGCAAGTCAAAATATATTTCAATATATTTAAGTGATTTTTATGCAACAACTCTTATGAGTATCATATTTGCTACATATCATGATTTGGGTGGATGTTGATTTCCCTGCTGATCTTTTCAAAACAGTCTGTAATATTTGTTTTGATTTTTATTTAACTGAAGGTCTGTTTGGAAGAGTGGTTTTTAAAATGTCAAGTGTATAGAAGGGAGACACAGCTGTCCTTTAAACCTATGTATTTTCACCTAAGGCCAGAGAAGTCCACAGAGATCTAGGCTTTCTCTGAGAAGCTCTCATGGACAAATAAGTGGCTAGGACCTCTGCTGTTCTTTCTATACAATCATTCTTCAGATATGTCTTGCATAGTTATTAATGGTAATGTGTTGTCTTGCAGAGAACCTGGGTTCAAATCCCAGCACCCGGATGGCAGCTGATGACTGGCCAATAACAGTTCAAGGGTATCTGATACGTTCTGGCCTTTGAGATCTTTGCATGCACCTGGTGCACATACATGCAGGCAAAATACCTATATAATGGAAATAAAAAGAAAAACAAAACCTTTAAAAATGCAACACATTGAAAATATTTGGCCTTGTCAATGAGAAAAGGGAAGTGAAGACAATATGAAGATGGGGAATACTAGAAAGTTCCTGCCATCAAGAGTGTCTGAGGGCTGGAAAGGTGGCTCAGCAGGTAAAGCACTTGATGCCCAAGCATGAGGACTTGAGTTTGGATCACAAGCTTGACGTAGTAGTACACCTATTTGTAACCTCTATAATTTTATGGGGAAATGGAAGATGGAGACAAGAGAACCCCCAGTAGCCTTGCTTACAAAGTGGTGAGCAATGAAGACTCCTTGTCTCAAATAAGGTAGAAGGCAAGGGCCAGTACTTAAGGTTGTCCTATGACCTCCACACACATGATGTGACACATATAGACATGCCTACACTTACACAAGCATGCACACACATATATCACACATGACTGGAAAAAAGTGTATCTAGTTGGTATGATAAGTATACAGAAACCAGTTACATCATGGTACCTTAAGTTTTGTATTATTACAGAATTTCCAAAGGGCAGATTCCCTGCTCCTTGTGTAGTGATAAACTAATTAAGTTTAGCTTAATAGAAAATAGTAGTCCATTCTCTCATGATTGGTCAGAGGGATGCAGTATTCTGGTTTGAATATATTTGGGTTGAGCATATATGTATCATAATTTTTTTGTTTACCCTTTCCAACCCTTTCATATACTGCTCTGTATCTCGGAAAGTGAAGCTATGAACCTGTGAGTTTCTTTCCCTTTCTGGCTTCTTGTAGGCCTGAGCCATGGATTCCCTGGTAGGACATCACTGGAAGAAACAGTGGTCATCCTGGAAGAAACAGTGATCATCATCCTGTTCATTCTTGCCTTTCTCCTTGCAGGATTGCCTCTGGCTGGCTATTGCACCTGAAATAAATGACATATTTCTCCTCATGGGAATTCTCGTTACTCTTTGTACTTCTTTTTCTTAAAATGGTAACTGCTCTTTCTCTCCTTTTGGACAGAGAATAGAAAAAGCCCCAAGTTTTACTATTCTGCCACCACCTTTGTAGATAGTCCTTTCATTAAACTTTTTACTAGTTATGCTAATTTGAGCATGCCATCTGTCTGCTGGCAGGACCCTGACTGATGTAAATGAAGTCTTAATTCTCAAAGAATTAGAATACGATGAAATAAGCCTAACAGAATATGACTAAATATGATTCAGTCTGTCTCTTTCTCTGATTAATCTTGGCTCTTGAAAGCTTTCAGATAATCATCAGAAAAGACAAGAACTGTAGTCTTCAGATAACCATGGATATGCAGAAGTGTCAGTTTACAGAATACTAATAACGACCATTTATTCCTGACTGTCTCCACGTGTTGTGCTTTGCATGCTTTATGTTCAGTATTTCCTGTGGTCTCCTCAGCAACCCTATGAAGAATGCATCTTTATTTTTGAGACAGGTTTATGTATA